GAGAGGGTTATTCACTAACTAGATAGTAGACAAGAGTTATCTTAGGTGAAGGGAAGGACAGCACACACTACAGGGGAAGTCAGCACAACTGGACTAAAGCAAAGCTAAGAAGTTTCCTGAATACAATCAAACACTTCTAGGGGCAGAGTATCACGGTCGGGATCTGGGGACCATGCTTTCAGAGGACATCTAGGTTAATTGGCATAACAAAGTTTATTAAGAAAATATTCTGCATCCTACTTTGGTGAGTGGTGTCTGGGGTCTTAAAAAGCTAGCAAGTGGCCATCTAAGATGCCTCAATTGGTCCCAACCCACCTGGAGTAAAGAAGAATGAAGAACACCAAAGACAGAAGGAAAATATTAGCCCACAAGACAGAAAGGGCCACATAAACCAGAGACTTCATTAGCTTGAGACCAGAAGAACTAGATGGTGCTGGCTACCACCAATGACCACCCTGACAGAGAACACAGCAGAGTGTCCCTGATGGAGCAGGAGAAAGGTAGGGTGGAGAACTCAAGTTCTAGTGAAAAGACCAGACTTAATGGTCTTAGTGAGACTGGGGGAACCCCGGAAAGCATGGCCCCTGGACTCTGTCAACCCAGAACTAAAACAATTTCTGAGGCCAACTCTTCAGACTAATATTGGACTCAACTGTAGGACATAAAATGATACTCATGGAGAGTGTGCTTCTTAGCTCAAGTAAATACATGAAACTAAATGGGCAGCTTCTGTCTGGAGATGAGAGGAGAAGGCAGAGAGGGTTAGGAGCTGGTTGAATGGACATGGGAAATCAGGGGTGGAAAGGAGGAATGTGTTGTCACAGTATAGGGAAAGCAGTTAGGGTCACATAACAATTTTTGTATATATTTTTGTATAAGAGACTAACTTGAAATGTGAACTTTCACTTAAACTACAACAATAAACAAACAAAAAAGAATCCTTCAACATTGCAAAAAAAAGAAAAAACCCTATGGAGCACAGTTCTACTCTGTATGCATAGGGTTGCCATCTGAGTCAGAATCAACTCAACTGCAGCTGATTTTAATGACTTTTTCTATTATTTGTTTTCTTTATTTTCTTTTCAGAAGGAAGAGATTGTTGTGACTCTATTACCAGCTGGTCATTGCCCAGGATCAGTTATGTAAGAGGACTCGTCTCTTTCGCCATTTGATTGTCTGTAGATATATTTGTAGAAATTAATGTTTCAGGTCTAGAAAATAAACATGTATAGGGAAATTTGGTTATTTTTCCAACAATTTCCTTAATATTTTTTTCCAGATTGAATTTGGAGGACTGAGGTGAATATCAAATTTGAAACATGGCTTCCTTATGATGGAAGTCTTCTATAGCTGTTTCTCCAGTGACTTTACATTTTCCCGTCCTGTGGTGTTTTCTCTTCATGAACAGGAATGATCTCAATATACAGTTGAGAGTGCTAACATATTTTGGGGGATCTCTATTACAAACTTGATATTATCTCCATTTTGTTATTCTTTCCTACTCCAGGGAAAAGAAGTGACAGTTGAGTGCCTGGTGTGATTTTAGAGTTATTGAAATTTAATTAACAATGTAATCTAGTGGATACGTTTGGCAGGAATGCATTTCCTGTGGATTTAATATGTATTTGATTTACTAGATTTTGTATGAGACTTAGATGTTACTGAGCTGTGTTTCCTTTTCAGGTTTTTATTTCAGGGCAATAATGGAACTGTCTTGTACACAGGAGACTTCAGACTGGCAAAAGGAGAAGCTGCCAGAATGGAGCTTCTACACTCTGGGGGCAGGTACTGGGCCTTACATAATTCTTGAATGTAAGATTGTATAGTTTCAAAAGTTTTATTTTTCTTTTCTCCCCAAACACAAACCTTTGTTTCTATTAGAAATCAAACTTGATTACAGGTAGTCCCCAGCTTAGGACGTGTTCGAGTTACAGTGAACCACACTTAACGACTGTCGGCTATCTGGAGCACTGCATCTTGCTGGAAGTTACAGGAAAATGCTTGCAGGGGATATGGAAAAAATTACTGAGTTATTTGAATACGCTCCAAATATTTGATCAAGATAGTATGATGCAAGAGATCAGTGGAAAGATCATCCATATGGCAAGAACACTGAGTTTAGGCCTTGGTATCACTGATGTGGAACAGCTCATAGATCACAAAGAAGGAGAATTGACAGATCAGGACTGTTATGGATTGAATTGTGTCCCCCATAAATGTGTGTCGACTTGGCTAGGTCATGATTCCCATTTTTCTGTGACCATTCACCATTTTATGATCTGATGTGATTTTCCTACGTGTTGTAAATCCTATGATGTTAATGATGTGGGATTACCGGCAGTTATGTTAATAAGGCAGGACTTAGTCTACAAGGTTGTGTCTTAAGTCACTCTCTCTTGAAATATAGAGAAGCCAGCAGAGTGACATGGGGACCTTATACCACCTAGAAACAAGAGCCAGGAGCATGGCGCCTCCTTAGGACCCAGGGTCCCTGCATTGAGAAGCTCCTCGACCAGGGACAAGGACCTTCCCCTAGAGCCGACAGAGAGAGAAAGCCTTCCTCTGGAGCCTGACACCTTGAATTCGCACACGTAGTCTCCTAGACTGTGAAAGGATAAGTTTCTTTTTGTTAAAGCCTTCCACGTGATATTTCTGTTATAGCAGCACTAGATAACTAAGACAAGGACTTGATGGATTTTGAAAAGGAAAGAAATGCTGAAGAAGAAAGAAATAATGAGAAAGAGGAAGGAGAGAAGTTGTCAAAAATTTTACGGTGAAAGCGTTAGCTGGAGTTTTTTCTCAGCTAAATCAGGGGATTCAGTTGCGTGAAAACAGGGACCCAAACGCTAATCACTTTGCTAAAGTTGATAGGCAGGTTTGGGAAGGAGTGAGATGAAGAAAAAAAGAAAAGGGCCATACAGACAACTCTCAGTAATTTTCTGTCAAGAAATGCCATCCCCATTCCCAGTGATAATCCAGATGATCCAGAACCTTCCACAAGTGGAGTTCATATCACAGCTGGAGTAAAGTTTTGTGTATTTTTTAATGTATGTATGTATTAAAATATATCTTTAAGTGTATATGTAATGTTTCCCACCCCCAGAGACAAATAAAGATCGGATTTATAAAGATACTGATAATAAAAGGCAATAATAATGAAAACTAAAAAAAGGAAAAATGAGGTATTTGACTTAAGTCAGAACCAACTTACAATAGAGTCGTTAGAGTGGAACCCTGTCATAAGTCCAGAACTACCTGTGTAGTATTTGTAATAGTAGAGCAAATTTTTCTCCTTGAGATGAGGTAATGGAAATGTTCTGTACGTAAAATTTATATGTATGTATTTAAATTGTAAAAATATAGATAACACAACATTTACCAGTTCAACATTTTTTATGTATACAACTCAGTGACAGCAATTACATCAAGTATGTTGTGTAACCATCACCGATATCTTTTGCCAGATTTTCCATTATCATAAGCAGAAACTCAGTGCTTCCTAAACGATGATTCCCTCCCTCCTACCCCCATGACCACTATTAAACTCTATTATTATACATTTAATTTATATGTTTTATTGTATGTAAACCATTTCAGCAAAGTTAACTTAAAAAAAAAAAAATCCAAATGAAATGGAACACCCTGTAAAATAACTGGTAGTTTAAATTTTACACAGATTTTAGGTTACTTTAGATGATTAACACCAATTCTGTCTTTTTTATTTTGTTTTCAGAGTAAAAGATATCCAAAGTGTATATTTAGATACCACTTTCTGTGATCCAAGATTTTATCAAATTCCAAGTCGGGTAAGTCTCCCTGAAGAAATGAGGTAATAACCTGCACATGGCCATATTTTTTTTTTCTAAATTTTTTTATTGTTGTGCTTTAAGTGAAAGTTCACAATTCAAGTTAGTCTCTCATACAAAAATCTATACATAAATTGTTATATGACCCTAGTTGCTCTCCCTATACTGTGACAGCACACTCTTCCTTTCTGCCCCAGATTTCCCATGTCCATTCAACCGGCTCCTGACTCTCTCTGCTTTCTCATTTCACCTCTGGACAGGAGCTGCCAGTTTAGTCTCATGTATCTATTTGAGCTAAGAAGCACACTCTTCACGAGTATCATTTTATGTCCCACAGTCCAGTCTCATTTTTGTCTGAAGAGTTGAACTCTGGAATGGTTTTAGTTTTGGGCTGACAGAGAGACTGGGGGCCATGTCTTCCAGGGTCCCTCCAGTCTCAGTCAAACCATTAAGTCTTATCTTTTTACTAGAATTTGAGTTCTGCACCCGACTTTTCTCCTGCTCCTTCAGGGACTTTCTGTTGTGTTCCCTGTCAGGGTGGTCATTGATGGTAACTGGGCACCATCTAGTTCATCTGGTCTCGGGTTGATGAAGTCTCTGGTTTATGTGGCTGTTTCTGTCTCTTGGGCTAATATTTTCCTTGTGTCTATGGTGTTCTTCATTCTCCTTTACTCCAGGTGGGTGATGACCAATTGATGCATCTTAGATGGCTGCTCTCTAGCTTTTAAGACCCCAGGCGCCACTCACCAAAGTAGGATGCAGAATATTTTCTTAATAAACTTTGTATGCCAGTTGACTTAGATGTCCCCTGAAACCATGGTCCCCAGACCCCTGCCTGTACTACTCTGTTCCTGGAAGTGTTCAATTGTATTCAGGAAACTTCTTTGCTTTAGTCCAGTTGTGCTGACTTCCCCTGTAGTGTGTGTTATCCTTCCCTTCACCTAATTCTTGTCTACTATCTAGTTAGTGAATAACCCTCTTCCTCCCTCCCTCCCCACCCTCTTAACCATCAAAGAATGTTTTCTTCTGTGTTTAAACCTCTTCTTGGGTTTTTATAATAGTGGTCTTATATAATATTTGTCGTTTTGCGACTGACTAAGTTCACTCAGCATAATGCCTTCCAGATTCCTCCATGTTATAAGATGTTTCACGAATTCATCATTGTTCTTTATCATTGCATAATATTCCATTGTGTGAATATACCATAATTTGTTTATCCATTCGGCATGACCATACTTCTAATAGGACCTTTTGTAGGCTAACAAATCGGATCATAATTGTCCCCGTTTACATTACTATCTGTGAATATTGGGAATGGAAGGGGTAAGTGATGCTCTTAAAAGTGTTAAATGCCTTTTAAAACTCCTGTCCAGGAGGAGTGTTTAAATGGAATCTTAGAGCTGGTTCGAGGCTGGATCACTCGGAGTCCCTACCATGTTGTGTGGCTGAACTGCAAAGCAGCTTATGGATATGAATATTTATTCACCAACCTTAGTGAACAATTTGGAGCCCAGGTACGGTGACTATTCTTTCTTTTCTGTTACTTCCCTCCACCCTCCCACCTTTACCTCTGCTGCCCACCCCTCTGAATGACTGGAAACAGGAACAGAGGGAAGCAAACTGTCTAAAAGCGTCTGCAGCAGAGGTCGGCAGCCTCTCTGAAGTAACACGTCATCTTGTTTATTGACTTCCTCATGAGGGGAAGTTGACTGAAGTCCAAATGGTGTAGATGAGCCCTTCAGTGAAATGTCCTCTAGAGGAAATATTTTCAAACTGGGTCATGAAATAAATTTAGTAATTGTGAACAGCATTGAAAAAAAAATTGAACTAGAAAACATCTGAATGTATTGCTTGCTGTAAGGGTAAGCCAGTAAGAATTAATCCATTAGCCAGGTACGCACAGGCTTACTTGTGTTTACTTACCAATCTGTAGTGAATGATTTTATATGGATTTCACTGCATCTTTGATGTTAAAAATCAGGTGAAATTATGCATTACAGGTTAGTAAGTAAACACAAGTAAGCCTGTGGCTACCTTGCTCATTGGGTAATCTGTCCTTGAGGGTAATTATCATTTTGTGAAAACTTAATTTTGGAATCAGACACATACATATACATACACATATATGAGTGTACTGAGTTACATTGGAAAACATATTTTTTACTGTGAGTCATGATACAAAATGTGTGAAAAACATTGTCCTGGAGAATTGATTTCTGCCTAGTCAGTGGGTCAGTGTCAGGCTGTGAGGAAGTTTTCACCCCTTCCTTCCAGATGATTCTTTCCCAGATGCTCAATTCTGGGCTTCAGGACCCTGAACAGCAGAGCCCAGAGTGGGTGTAGTGGCTGCAGGCAGAGGTCCTTTTCCCTTGTCTCCACTGTGCTCACACTTAAAGAGTGTGGATTCCACTTTTGTCCCCTAAGAGAAGCGGGGTTTTTGATAATGACTGAACAAAATGAACTACTGGAACTCGTTTGACATTTAAGTTCTACTTCATATTGTATCTTTTAATACAAGTCTCCCAGGTAACAAACTTTTGTGCTAAGAACTTAACAATTATATACAATGTAATTTGGTAAAATAAAAAAAGATTAGTTTTTCTGGGTTTGAAATTTCAAAAATACCTTCCTTCATACATACCTACCTATTTTCCTTCATAAGTCCTTCTTAACGCCTCCTTTCCTTAATTTCTTCCTTCCTTAAGTCCTTTCTTCCAAATATATTGGTGTAAAGTTGCCAACTCTCCGTTTTGGAAAGAGTTTGCTTTTATTCTGAGATTGCCCTTCCTTGTTTTTGGTGTTAAAATGGCCTTTTAAATTAAAATCACAGTGATAGTAAATAGTGTGTGTGTGCATACACATAAGCTTATACGTACTATCTGTTGGGTTTTTTTTTCTCTTCCTCATGCCTTCTTTTGGCAAAATATAAAGATGATAACCATTTATCAGTCCCAAGTTTGTGTTGTAAATTTGACTGGTGTGTGAAATCTAAAAGACTGGAAACTTCTGCTCTGGAGCCCTGCAGGAGACAGCCAGGGGCTGAGGATGGGGTTAGGGACCGGGGAAAAGTGGGCCTTTGCTGGTGACCTTGGAGTTGTCTCTGCAGTTGCTCTTGGAACAAGCCCTACCTTAAGTCTGTTAATCTCTTTGCAGGGCATAAAATCATTTTAGATAAGGAATTTAAAAAGTGAGAACAGTGAGGTTTTTTTTTTTTTTAAATTATTTATTTTGCTGTTGAGAGTATAAGGAGCCCTGGTGGCACAGTGGTTAAGTGCTCGGCTGCTAACCGAAAGTCAGCGGTTCTAACCCACCAGCCACTCCGTGGGAGAAAGATGTGGCAGTCTGCTTCTGTAAAGATTTACAGCCTTGGAAACCCTATGGGCCAGTTCTACTCTGTCCTCTAGGGTCATTATGAGTCGGAATCGACTTTATGGCAATGGGTTTGGTTTTGGTTTTGGTGGCACAGTGATTAAGTGCTCAGCTGCTAACTGAAAGGTCAGTGGTTCTAACCTACCAGCAGCTCCACAGGAGAAAGATGTGGCAGTCTCCTTCCATGAAGATTTATAGCCTTGAATTCCGTATGGGGCAGTTCTACTCTGTCCTGTAAGGTTGCTATGAGTTGGAAGAGACTTGATGGCAGTGGGTTTTTTTGTTTTTGTTTTTTGTTGAGAATATACACAGTGGAACATCCACCAATTCATCAGTTTCTTCATGTACAGTTCAGTAACATTGATTGCATTCTTTGGGGTGTGCAACCATTCTTACTCTATTTTTCCGATTTGTTCCTCCTCCATTAACATAAACTTATGGCCCCCAAGTTCCCTATCTAATTGTTCGAGTTGCTCTTGGTTTGATCTCATATAGATAGTTCTTAAAAGAGCACCATGCTCAAGATAGGCGTTCTTTACTAGTTAAGCCAAACTTTTTGGTTTTAATAAGACTTCAAGGGATATTTTTATTTACAGCTTAAAGATTATTTCAGGACAGTAGTTTCAGGGATTCATTCAACTTCCATGGCTCCTAAAAGCATGGAGTCCATGAAAATTTGAAATTCTGTTCTGCATTTTTCCCTTTTGATCAGGATTCTTCTATAGAATCTTTGATCAAATTTTTCGGTAATGGTAGCCGGGCACCATCCAGTTCTTCTGGTCTCATGGCAGAGGAGGCAGTTGTTCATGGAAGCAGTTAGCTACATTCCATTTCTTCCTCCTGTTTCTGACTCTTTCCCCTGTTGCTCCAGACGAATAGAGACCAATTGTTGTCCATTTGGATGGCTGCTTGCAAGCTTTTAAGCCCCCAGGCACTATGCAGTGAACCAGCAGATAGAACAGAAGCACTAAACACATATTAGGCTTGTTAACTGGGATGTTCCCTGAAATCATGACCCTGTACCTCCAAACCAAGAAGCCAAATCCCATGAGGTGTTTAGTTGTATGTAAGCAGCCTCAGCACCTGTTCTTTTTGTTGTTGTTGTATAAATATATCTATCACACAACTTCTGCCAGTTCAAATTTTTACAGGTGTATAGCTTATTGACAGCAATTAAAATAATTGGCTGTGTAACCGTACCCTTAATTACTACAATTTTTCCATCACTGTAAACCAAAACTCAGTGCTCCATAAGCAGTAACTCCTCCTTTCTCCCTCCCTCCTGCCCCTGGTAACCGCTAATAAACTTTGGTCTCTACATTTGCCTGTTCTTGTCTTTTTATATAAGTGAGGTCATATAGTATTTGTCTTTCTGTGATTCTCTTATTTCACTCAGCATAATATCTTCAAGCTCCATCCATATTATAGCATATATCAGAACTTCATTTCTCTGGCTGAGTAGTATTCCATTGTGTATATGTACCACATTTTGTTTATCCATTCATCCGTCGATGGGCATTTGGATTGTTTCCACCTTTTGACTATTGTGAATAGTACTGCAGTGAACATTGGTATACGTATGTCTGGTTGCATCACTGCTTTCAAGTCTCTTGGATACAATCCTAGCAATGGAATTGCTGGGTCATATGGTAATTCTATTTTTAGTTTTTTGAGGAACAGTGAGGTTTTTGACTTTGGGACCTCCTAGACGATCTACTGCAGCTTTCTCAGATGCCTTCATTTTTGTGAGAATGAAAGTTTCTCTTCTTCTCTCCTGTAAAAACCAAAAACCAAACCCATTGCTTTCAAATTGATTCCAACTCATAACAACCCTGTAAGACAGAGTAGAACTGTCCCATAGGGTTCCTAAAGCTGTAATCTTTGCAGAAGCAGACTGCTACGTTTTTCTCCCATGGAGCAGCTGGTGAGTTTGAACTGCTGACCTTTTGGTTAGCAGCTGAGCGCTTTATCTGCTGCACCACCGGGGCACCTCCTCTCTTCTCTACATCTCAGAATCCACCCCTTTTTTCTTTTTCTTAGAGAAACCCAAAAAGCAAATTTATTGTTTGTTTTCATTGCTCATTAGTCAACAGGTAGTGGCAGACTAGGCCATAAGAGGAGTAAGCAATTATGCTGGTATTCTTGTTAAGCCTGTCTTGGTATTAATTACTGTAGCAATTTGACATTCTCGTCTGTTTTGTTATTCAGATTTTGAAATGAGAATGCATCTTTTTTTAAATATTTTGTTGTAATTCAGGTGAAGGCATACGGAACAAATAGTTTTCTCATGAAACAGTAGTACACATGTTGTTTTATGACATTGGTTAACAACCCCACAACATATTAACCCTCTAACATCTCAACCTTTTTTTT